GGAGACCCACACCTCCCCAGAGATCCCCCCGGGACACACAGCGCTCCGGAGACCCACACCTCCCCAGAGATCCGCCCCGGGACACACAGCGCTCCGGAGACCCACACCTCCCCAGAGATCCCCCCGGGACACACAGCGCTCGGGAGACCCGCACCTCCCCAGAGATCCGCCCCGGGACACACAGCGCTCGGGAGACCCACACCTCCCCAGAGATCCGCCCGGGACACACAGCGCTCAGGAGACCTGGCCTTCATAGCAGAAGGGGGGTGACCCCAGGGGTCCCTGTAGCACACTGATGCGTGGGCACCACGGACACACCTCGGGGCTCAGTCCGCTAATGATACGACCCCGACTCAGGGCGGGACCCGGGAGCAGCTGAGATCTGGTTCACTGCAGCCCTGCGGCACCCGGGGCAGAAACGGGACACACGCCCAAGCCTCCCGAGCCTCGGGGGGGCTGTGGGGCGTGCTGAGTCGCTCTGTACTGGCACCAGGACGGTGCTGGGGGAGAGACCCCCTCTGGTCTCACTCTCCAGCCCACCGGGCTCAGAAGAGAGGGTCCGCAGCGTGCAGGGCAGCTCGCCCGGGCCGGGTCCCGCGCGCTGGCGCAGCGCCGCAGTGTGCGGCTCGCTTCACTGTCGCAGTAGTCCGAGGTTTATTCCGAGCCGTAAGCGCGCGCTCGGAAAGCAGCACAGCCTGAGCCTGCCGTGGGCTCTTCTGGGATGATGCCAGCGGCACATCTTGGAGTCCCTCCTGCAGCAAACAGACGCATTACAATTAACAAGACACCCGGGAAGGGGATGGAGGTGGGAGATTTAATGGCGTCCCCCGGGCCCCAGCACTGCGGCGCTGATGACACATCCCTGCTGCGCCTCCCTCTCTCCTCCCCTGCCGCAGGGAGCCTGGCTCCCGGGGAGAGTGCTGCAGGTTCATGGTCACCCAGGTGAGAGAGCCAGTGTCTCCTCCACCCCACCCACTGGGGTCCTCCGGGGGGCACGCGCTCCTCGACTGATGAAGGGAGCCCGGGACCGGGGTCCGAGCCGGCAGGCTCTGCGTTCCTTCCCCCTGGGGGCAGCACCTCGGCTCCTTGATTCGGTCGGAAGACAACACAGCCACGCGGTGGGAGGGGGGCCCGTGCCCTTGTGTGTTCCTGAGCTTCGGGGACGTCTCCCCGAAGGCCCGCACTCTGACCAGCGTGCAGAGTCATGCCATCTCCACTGGCTCGCAAAGGCTCTTGGGAGGTTCAGGGGCCCTTTTGTTTTGCAATCTGAGCAAGAGCATGCTGGGGCTGCTCCTCCAAGCCCGGCCCCTTGCTCTTGTCCCTTTCCTGTCCCCGTCCCTTCCTGCGCAGGAGCTCAGGGAACTGTCGCTGTGCTCACAGCTCCCTGCAGAGCCACAGACACCTCTCCCCCCTGCAGTGGCCCCGTTTACATCCGATGACCCACACGCCTGTAGGGCGGCGCTGTGGTGCAGTGGTTGGCCTTTGCCCTCAGCGCACTAGAGGTCAGCGCACCCAGGGGCCCTGGGTCCAGTTCCGGACCTGAGGCGGGGTTGGTGTGCCCTCCCCCTGTCCGAAGACATGCTGGGGGCCTGTGGGAGACCGGGCCCCCGCTGCGAGCGTGCGCGCGTCTGCGTCTGCGTGTCCGTCCCGCGCCGGACTGGTGTCCCGTCCGAGGCGCGGCCCGCCGCTGCCCGCCCTGCCACCCTGTACTGGGTAAAGAGCTTGGCGGACGGGAGTGGGGCGGAGCTGCCCCAGATTCCAGCACCGCTGCGGCCGGTGTCACCAGCAGCTGAGCTTCCCTTCAGGACAGCGGCACCGCGACTGGGGCAGGATCGGGCCTCTGCTCCTGATGAATGCCGAGAGCCTGCGAACCCACTGCCGGTCCATACTTCAGAGCTCCGGGGATTTGCATGTTTTGTAATCTGATTCATGCCAGTCTAGTTAAAACAACAACAGCAGCAGCGGCAAAGCAAAGCAAAGGAAAATACTTAATGTGCGGAACAAACATCCCTCATCCGCGCCGCGCTCGGCCCCTGCCCTGCGCTCCCCTGTCAGTTTCGGGAACACGCGAGCTCCGGGAATCACAGTCCCTGGGCCTGAGGTCCCACGCGGGTGCGAGCCGAGCCGAGCCGAGCCGGACCGTAAACGGCTCAGAGATACAAAAAACACGAGACGAAACAGAACGCGAGCTCGTCGCGCGCTCGAGAGCCGCTGTGGCGCTTCGGCTCTCCAGCCCGCGAGCTCGGCGCGGCCGCTCTTCCACTGGGGGGGGAAGAGGGAAAAAAAACGTTGCGAGCGTAACAGGTCTCCGAAACTCATTCATATTAACAACTCAGATCACGTCCAGGAGCTCTGATTGTCCATTAACCTGGACGGCAGACCCCCTCCCCCCCCCAGTCTCCCTCCTCCTCCTCCTCCTCCTAGGGGTGGCGTCTCGCACCAGCCTGGGCAATGAGGGAACAGGCAGAAGAGGGCTTTTTTTTCTTTCGCTCTTTCTTCGGGTCCTTATCAGCAATTCAGATTGCATGCAAATCGGCAGCGTCATCGTCATTTCTTTCTTGCGAGCGAAAAAAAAATCAAGGGAGGAGGAGGAGGAGATGGAGGAGTGAAGGAGGGGGGGGAGAGAGAGAGAGACTCAACCGTCCTCGGTCCTCCTCTTATGGGCAACACTTCGCTTCTGTTCTCCCTGCTGCTACGAGCTGGCAGTGTGGAGGCGTGAGACTCCGGCGCCCCAGAGCGCCTGATCGATGCGGGCTGCAGGAAAGTTCAGCTGAGCGCTCTTCTGCAGAGAGGAGGGGGGCTCGTCTTCATAACTCCGCCGTGCCCGAGGAGAAGCAGGAGTCCTGCGCGGGGCTGGGAGGTGGGGGGATTATTTCGGAGAGAACACACACACGCACACACGCCTCTGCCGTGATCATGGCCACGCAGCGCCGACGGACCGCGGCCAGCCGGTGCTCGCGGGCTCTGCTCGTGCTCGCCGTGCTGTGCGCCCGCTGCTGCCGCGCGACCTGCCCGGAGAGAGCGCTGGAGCGGCGCGAGGAGGAGGCGAACATAGTTCTGACCGGGACCGTGGAGGAGATCCTCAACATGGACCCCGTGCACAACACGTACTCCTGCAAGGTAAGGCACCGGGGCTCCGGGGCTCCGGGGCGGCGGGAGAGCGAGCGAGCGAGCCGGGGTTAAGACAGCACCGCGCCCGGCCCGGTCCGGCTCCGCTCGGACGGGAACAGCCTCCGGGCAGGTCCCCCCCCAGGAGAGTCGATGAGCGCTCAACTGTTGCCTCTTCTAATGTACAAAGAGCCTTCTCGCCTTTTCTTATTTTTTTGGAGGGGGGGAGGGTGCCCCGCCTTCTTTCACAGACCCCCCCAGACCGTGAAAAGATCTCAAGTCTGGAAATGATTAATTTTGCACCTGTTTGCTCGCTAACTCTTCGCTCGCCGTTCGCGGCGGAGAGCGACACTCAGGCGGCGCTCGCGTGTTTCTGACAGGGGTGCGAGTCGATACCGCGCCACTGTCTGATGACAAAAAACAACCGAGCCTCTTCTGTCATTAACACACTTTTATTGGAACCCCCCAACAACATCACAAGAATCGCTTTTGAACATGATCCCCGGGTCGAGTATCCTCAGATCCGTCAACACGTGGTTTCCCTGAACCGAGCCTGTGGTGTGAGTTCGGTTCGGGATGAGGTTCCGAGGGGTGACAGAGCGTCAACCGAAGACCCAGGTAGCCGTGAGTCCCAGCGCCTGTCCCGGTCCGACTCAGCCCGCTGCGGGGTGGCAGACAGATGCACCTCGACACTGTGCTCCAACCCTCAGTCTAACTCCGTCTCTGGCGACAGAGACACCCCGGGCGCTGCGGGAGACTGCCGCTAACTTGACATCGCCGTGCAGTGAAGAGGGGGGGGGGTCCCCGGCGTGGTTCGATCCGATCTGTTCAATCCCCACCGATCGTCGCTGCCCTGCACGGCCACGGGCACCCACTGACCGCGAGAGGCGGCGCGAGGCAGGCAGGCGGGCGAGGACGCGCGGCCCGGCGGCTCGCCTGTTGCTACGTAACCGCCGCCGGCGCTTGTCACGCGGCGGATTCCCTTGCACGCGGGCAGTTCTCTCGCTGCACCGGAAGGAAATATAAAAGCGACTCGGCCGCGCGGTGAGGGGGGGGGGTTGGCCGCGCGTGCCACGTTTTTCGTGTTTTAATTATTAGGCTTTGGAGTTGTGTGACTCAATACGGAGGGGGGGTCTGGCAGGAGGGGCCCGGGGCCCTGATGAGAAGTTTCCTCTCGGCGTTGTGAGAGCACCGTCCATGTCCGTGTTTTTATCATCTGAGCTTGTGGGATTCGGGAAGCCCCAGGCTGCCAGTCCCCGAAGGTGCCCCGGAAGTTTCCAGTTGAGTTTCTTGTCAGTGTGTCCCTGCCATGAGGGAGCCCACAGGGCTGGACGGGGGAGTGTCCGCCTGGCTCCGCGTGGGAGGGGCCTGAGAGGAGGAGGAGGAGGAGGAAGAGGATGGCGCCTGGGTCTCTGACCCCTGTCTCTCTCTCTCCCTGCCCCACAGGTGAGGGTGTGGCGCTACCTGAAGGGCCGGGAGGTCGTGACCCGGGACGTCCTGCTGGACGGGGGCAACAAGGTGATGATCGGGGGCTTCGGCGACCCCGGGATCTGCGACAACCAGGTGGCCACGGGGGACACGCGCATCTTCTTCGTCAACCGCGCGCCCGCGCAGCTGTGGCCGGCGCACAGGGGCGAGCTGATGCTGAACTCCAGCCTGATGAGGATCACGCTGCGCAACCTGGAGCAGGTGGAGCACTGCGTGGAGGGTGAGTCCCCTCGAACCCGCGCCGAGGCCGGGGGAGCCAGATCTGTTGCCCAGGTGGAGGCAGGGCTGCTGGCCTGACCGTCCCCTCCGGCGTCCGGCAGTCCTCTGGGATTCCGTGTCCGATCCGTGTCCGAGCCTCTGTGGGCAGCACGCTGGGAGTTGTGTTGGGGGCGAGGGCAGCATGGTTGCTAATGTTGCTGCCTCTTTAGCTCCTGGGTCCCGGGTTCGATTCTGGAAGGGGTTGGCTTCTGGGTGGGGTCTGTGTGTTCTCCTGGTGTGTGTGTAGGTCTCCTCCAGGTGCCCAGCTTTCTTCCCGCAGTCCTGAGACATGCTGGCAGGCTAACTGGCATCTGGGAAAACTGGCCCTGGTCTGAGTGTGCCCTGCGATGGACTGGCGTGCTGTCCAGGGTGCACCCTGCCTTGTGTCTGGTGCCTGATGGGATAGGCCCCGTCTCCCCTGTGCTGGATGAAGGGCTTGGGACAGGGGTGGACAGGTGGAAATGGGGGGTTTGACTGAGGTCGTTCTCGATGTTGTCACGTGGAGATGGGCCTCCGACCTGCTTTGGCAAGGGGATGGATCAGCCCTGACCTTGGAGTTGGGAGTGATTGGACAGGTGGGGTAGCCCAGCTGCAGAGGTGCTCTGCTCCCCCCTGAGGAGAGGCAGTCGAACCCGGGAACCTGAGAGAAGCAGCAGCTCCTGTAGCAGAACCAGTTCAGATCCGCAGTCAGGCGCAGGCCGGACAGATTGGACTGTGTGAGTGTGTTTGTGAGTGAGAGTGTGTGTTTGTGTGTGTGTGAGTGAGTGTGTGTTTGTGTGT